TACTTTGGTATCTCTGGATGTCGTCTATTTGGAGTGATGGTAGCTACCACTTGGTCTGGTATTTTTGTTGGCTCAAATGGGTTTGAAATAGAGCAACGGGAGGCCTTTGTTGTCAAGATCCTTACTCGGTGTAAGTTTGCTTCGTCTAGATCCATGCCTCCCTGGTCAACCAGATAAAGAATATAGGTTACTATCTGTAGATATCTTGTAGATTTTTCGTAGTGAATTCCATGTGATATTTTTTCTGTACTTATGAATCTATAAGTATGAAAAGCCTCTGTTTGGAATGAACTTGATGTCACTATTTTTTTGTTTCACAGCGCTTTTATATGTTATAACTCTCTTGCATAAGTAAGAAGGTAATAAAACAAAAGTAACCTTCTTTATACTGGGTTTATTAATTAATTTTTTGTTAAAAACAAACTTTTAAATTTTTTATTTTTTCTATAAAAATTTTGGTTTTGTAAAATAGGGGAGAGAGTTTTTCTTTATTCCAATTTTTAAATAAATTGAATTTAATATATATCTCAATATTAATAACACATTCTACAATGAATAATATAAAAGAAAATTATGTGTCTTTATGCATAAAGGTTACACAAAGTGGATTAGTACTTAAATTAAAGCTATAAATAGGTTTTGCCAATGTATTTTCAATTTATCAGTTTTTTTGAAAAATTATCAAAAAAAATTTCCGATTCTATAAAATTTTTTTGGTTATTAATTTTTATTAAAAAAAATTATTTTGTATATTATTGTTATATTTATTTATTTAATTCTTCTTTTACAATTTTGATATCAAATTTGTAATACGCTATCAAAATTAAAATCTATCAAATTTACATCATATAACCCAATTGTCATTAACATATGTAACATATCATTATTAAGCTGATTACAAATATCAGTCTTAATTAAATTTTGTTTAAAAAACCCTCTTTCACAATCTACACTAGAAAATGGTATAGAATAAAATATACTAATCAAAATAAGAATATTAGGATACATATCAGAATAATATTGAAATAATCGTGAATCAGTAGAAAGATTATTATAATTTGCTAAAACTATAGCTTTAAAATTATTCCATTCATCACGAATAGCATTAGCATCAATAATTGGCATTAGGTAATTAGGCTCTTTAGCTACAGTGAACTCTTGATATAATGAATTCTAAGATCTGAATATCAACTTCGTTATAAGCTTATAACGAATTTTTTAAAGAATTTAATTGGCTAGTTCACT